TCTGACAATCATCAGGCACCTAGCCAAATCTGCGTCAGATTTCGTTCTTTTTAAGAGTTTCCGCGTACGCTGTGATTAAGCAACTAATAATAGACCGAATACATCACAGACTTTTGTAATGACAAACCTGAAAAATTAAATATTTCCCCCCTCGAGCTACAAATTGTCCTAAGGCATGCGTTGCCACAAATGAAAATGAGTAAAAACATTTGTTTTCTCGTTTCCGGACGACAAAGCATATTTTAAAAGAGAATCAGAAATCGATTAATAGAACATCCTACCTACGTAGTTTTTACTCGATGGTATACCTGGTCAAATAGAGGGATTATTAGCTGACCGACAGCGGGCCATTGCTTACGGATCGAACGAGTGAGGTGCTTCGAACTGACTAGTCTTGTAAACCCTCTCCAATAACTCTCTTTTAATTTAAAAACATATGTGTACCTACGAATTAGCATCCATTCTGTTTCTATGTGTCCATCATCGTGTCTCCTTATGCAGGCATTTCGAAAAACAGCAAACGGATGTCTCATAAAGTACCTTTAATCAACCATAATTTAAATCTTGAGATAAAATTAACAAAAACTTACTCTGCTCTCTAACCCGCCAATTTATCAGTCAACTGACGCCTATGATAGCAATTTCCTCAAGTTGAAGTAACTCCGACACCGTTTCTGTCATCCCTTGTTTTGTGTGATACTGGCGAAGATTGTGTCAGGTCGCTTGAGTTTCTAGATTGATCCGTTCTAACAAGATCTTCAAATGGATACGAAGAAGATAATTTCACGTATCGCCTTCAAAATATTAATCTGCTAACAATCATCATGGTACTGTAGTGTCCCTTTGAGACGGCTTTTTTTGGAGACATGGTAAGTTGTTCACAAAGTACAGGCTAATTTTTCTACTTGCTTTTAAAAATTGAGGGGAATTTCTATACAAGACGGATGCGTGTTCTTCAACAATTATTCTTTTAATTTTTCTAGAGTATAGTTTTGAAATATATAAGCCCTTAATAATTAAAAAGACGGAAACAGAAGAGACGCATTCACTTTTCTGCACTAGAGCAAACGTGATCAAAATACTTCCCAAAGAAGTCGTGTTGGCAATCAATTGTTTTCGGTCATCCATCATCAGGCCGATACATGACATGGGGAATAAAATGGTCAGATAATTGCAGCATTTATATAATCGTCGGGTTGGGGGGGGAGGGAACGGGGTTAGTGGATAAGGGTAATTAGGCAGCTGGGTTTTCCCTCGTCTCCTGAATGCGGGCGCCTGCGCGGGTAGTGCGTTGGTTGACATGCGTAGAGAAGACAGGGGGATGTTCTGACGGTCAGCAT